CACTTTAACAAAACAGTCAAAATAAAAAGACTTTAGAGCTATTTAAAAACACAAAAAGAATACTTACTACTGGAAACATTTAAAGGGCTACCTTGGATCTCTGAATTAGCTGATTAGGAAGGACACTTACATGTTTGTCACTCGACTGTGGTGGAAAAGAACTGATGAGCACCGGAGATTTGGAAAGCTCAGGGAACGGGTTTGGTATGGATGGGACGGAGGAAGAGAACGACTCCACGCCCTTCGCCCTGAAACATTCAGACAGAAAGAACAACGACGTCAAAATGAGGCAAAAACTGACAAATAAGCTCATTGTGCAGTTAAATGATAAGCCTGGTAATATTCTATATTTATCTTGATGGTAAACAAAAATAATTACTGTAACAAGCACGATGCAGACGCAATGAAGCCGATTATATTCATATCTATTGGGGCTCAGAATTGAGACAAATAAATAAAGTCTCACGTGTTTGAGACAGTAGAAGTTCACGTAGCTAACTGCAGCGTGCACATAAACTCAACATCACAGGTCGCCCCCTGCAGGCCTGCACTCATATTGCACGTTGATCAGACATTGAGAGGTCAGGTAAGGCACCAAGACAACATTCATTAGCAGCCAGTCATCGGTATCTGGTGATGAGCAACTCGAGATCCTAGGTGGGTCTCCTGTTAGTCTGAGATTAACGGTGGTTTGCAACACCAAGCAGGATTTGAGACTTCGTGAGGTTTAAGCCTGGGTGCTCACTTATTACCACATATATCACCATGGTTACGCTGCAGACCTACCTGCTAAACAGGTTGCGTATAAAATCCTCATCTCATGATCAATCAGGAAAAATGGCGTCATAGTTCCTGGAATATTCCTCTCGCCCAGATGTGCAGACTAACTGTTCAAAACCACGATAAACCTAAAACAGGGCGCCTCAGCCTTGCACCTGAATTTCTATAAAACTTGCCAGGTCTAGTCACAGCTCAGCTAAAACTTGTAAGCAACACATTAAATCGAACATTAAACCCTGAATGTCGTCTGGATTTCTTCCCAGGTTTCATGGGAATCATCCCCGTCACCCTATTAAGTCTCAGCTGACACAGCTGGATTTTTTCCTTTAGTTTTAAAGTCACGTAAATATTTATGCGTCACTTTTCCAAGTGCACTCCTCACATAGTGCTGTGAGATTTCCAGCTGTATAACAAGCTTTTACCTCTTCTCATGCACAGTGAAGAGGAGACAGATCAGATAATTTACAGCTGGAGGGGAGAAGTGAAAGAGGCAGACAGATGCTGTTATCTAATACTGTTTTAGCTGTTGGGCTGATATCAGTCTACTCATGGACACTAATAAAGCTAAATGATTCATAATCATGTAGGGGGGGGGCTATATTCTTTCTCCCACTGCTGGAAAGAGGAACCCGTCTCCTCCTCCTGATCTTGCCTAATGTGGAGCACCTATTCATTTTACTGCGCTGACACCGAGGTGATGACATCTCTGCATCATGAGAACGTCGCCCTCTTTGTCTTAGCTCATCCATCAAGCCGTGATAAAGAACCCCAGCAAAGAAAAGAAGTCAAACAGCACCTGTGTGACATCTACCCACTGACAGCTCGCAGTATTTATTACGTCTTTAAGACTGGGAGGAGCAGAAACTCACTTCTTTAAACATCAGATGACTCTTGAGTCACTGACTTGAGTCAACATCCTCCTCCTTCATGAGTTTAATGATTCATGTCCATGGTGTGTGTGTATTGAGCAGTCACCGTGAGTAATGTGTGTGCTGGTCGTACCTGTTTGAGGTAATCAGGATGGGCTGGGAGCGGCGGATGGATGGCGAGTCGGATACCAGAGGAGCCAGAGTGAGAGTTGAGCTGCCCAACAGCGTCTCGGACGATTCCTCCTTCGCCTCTGAGCCCTCAAACACTTCTGCCCATGAACCTGCCACCTCCATCATGTTACCTGAGGGCAAAGGTGAAGGTCAGCCCTCAGTCGCAGGCTGCTCGAGGGCTCAGGTTTATTATTATAGCCGATGTCGTCCTTGTTGCAATGAGCTTGCTGGTGAAATCCACATGCAAAATACTGCTGACCTTTACTCAGACAGAGGGAGTGTCCCAAGTACTAAATGTATACTTAAAGCTTAACCAGCCAGCTGTACGTCACAAAGGTGAGATTAAGCATAACGACATTTGTGCTGCATTATTGGAGAGATATTAATAGAAACAGTAAACACT